CGATCAAGATTGGAGTTGGGGGTGGAGGGTGGATGGAGCAGGCGGTCAGGAGCATGGAAGAGGATGAGATACTGGATGGTAATTCTGGGAGCTTTAGAATTGGTTTGGACTTGGGGAAGAAGAAGGTCAAGGAATTGGTTGTTGGAAGACAGGATTTGCCCGTTGTAGGAATTTGGGGCATTGGAGGATCAGGCAAGACTACTCTGGCGAGGGAGATCTGCAGAGATGACCATGTTCGATGTAAGCACCAGTTCCTTCTAACTCCCATGACCCGTTCTTTCTATGCTCTCCTCGCATATCAATTCTGTTTACGTTATGTGTTTGAAGTCTCCGTGTCATCGGAGTCACTCTCGTACTCTACTTTCGGGCAGCCAAAAGAAGATAACAGCTTGTTTTGGTCTTAAATTTACCTTATCTTCTTTTAACAAGGACACAAGGTGGGAATTTGATCATATTTACCCTGCGAGGTCTGAGGGTGGTGTCATATATTATAGTTTGGTATTGAATGGTATCTCTTCGTCGTTTGTTCATGCTATGAAATTTATAATGTTAGATCTAAATCATCATTGGCTTGTTGCTTTTGAAATGATCTGTTATGGAAGCGGCCATAATCGCTTAACTGTCACTTTTTTCCCCCAGGTCATTTCAAGGAGAGAATCTTGTTCCTGACAGTGTCACAGTCTCCAAACGTGGAGCAGCTGAGAGCCAAAATATGGGGATTTGTTATGGGCAATGAACGGTTGAATCCTAATTACGTGATTCCACAGTGGAAGCCACAATTTGAATGCAGAACCGAAACACGAAATCTGATAGTTCTGGATGATGTGTGGTCGCTCTCTGTTTTAGACCAGCTTGTCTGTAGAATACCTGGTTGCAAATCCCTAGTAGTCTCAAGATTCAACTTCCCGACAATTTTTTCTGCGAGCTACAAAGTTGAACTATTGAGCGAAGAGGATGCCCTGTCTCTGTTCTGTCACCATGCCTTTGGACAGAAGTCTATCCCTTTTGCTGCAAATGGGAATTTGGTCAAGCAGGTATTGATGAACTCTATCTTTTTACATGGAATGATCTTTAAAATATTTTGTTACTTATCTTCTGTTCTTGAATCCAGCTAGTGACCGAGTGTGGAAGACTTCCATTAGCCCTTAAAGTCATTGGATCTTCCTTGCGAGATCAGTCTGAGATGTTTTGGGCAGGCGTGAAAAACAGGCTATCCCAAGGCCAAAGCATAGGAGAATCATATGAAATCAATCTGATTGAAAGAATGGCCATCAGCGTCAATTATCTACCGGCGAAAATAAAAGAATGCTTCCTGGACCTGTGTTCTTTTCCAGAAGACAAGAAGATTCCTCTAGAAGTACTCATCAATATGTGGGTTGAAATCCACGATATTGATGAGACCGAAGCTTTTGCCATTGTCGTTGAGCTCTCAAACAAGAATCTTCTCACCTTGGTGCAAGAGGCACGGTAAATAAGTGAAACCCATTTTAATTATGTTGGTTTCATCATCTGCTTTATTGTAACAACTTTTTTTGATATTTCAATGTATCAGTGCCGGAGGCATGTATAGCAGTTGCTTTGAGATCTTTGTCACTCAACACGATGTATTGAGAGACGTAGCTCTTAATTTGAGCATTCGTGAGAGCGTTAATGAGCGCCGGCGCTTAGTCATGCCAAAAAGAGAGAACAGAGTCCCTAAAGAATGGTCCAGATATAAAGATCGACCATTTGAGGCTCAGATTGTTTCAATGCACACTGGTATCTTTTTTCTCCATCCATCTATCATTCCCACTCCCAAATAGGAAAAAAATCAACAAAAACTCTGATTGTATTTGCAATGGATTTCACTATTGCAGGTGAAATGAAAGAAGCGGATTGGTTAAGAATGGAATTTCCCAAGGCCGAAGTGCTGATCATCAACTTCTCCGCGAGTGAATTCTTCTTACCTCCCTTCATTGATAGAATGCCAAATTTGAGGGCATTGATATTGATAAATTATAGCGCTTCATACGCTTCCATTCACAATATTCACGTTTTTGAGAATCTGGCTTCCTTAAGGAGCCTCTGGCTTGAAAAAGTTACAATCCCTCAATTTTCAGACCTTCCCTTGACAAGCTTGCGCAAATTGTTTGTAGTCCTCTGCAAGATAAATGACAATGTGGATGGTGGAATGACAGATTTGTCTGAGGTCTTCCCGAACCTCTCAGAGCTCACACTTGATCACTGTGATAATTTAACAGAGCTTTCCCCAAGCATTTGCAGGATGGGATTACTTCAGAATCTAAGTATCACCAACTGCCACAACTTAGTCCAACTACCTGATGAGCTAGGAAAGCTACGATCACTGGAGATCCTGCGGTTATATGCTTGTCCGGCTCTGGAAGCAGTTCCTCCCAGCATCGGCGAGCTTAGAAGGCTCAAGTACATAGACATATCTCAGTGTGTCAATCTTGGACGGATTCCAGTAGAGATAGGAAAACTAGTAAATTTGGAGAAGATAGACATGAGGGAGTGCTCTTCAATTAGGGATTTACCAAAGTCTGCAACTTCATTGAAATCACTGCGGCTTGTGATTTGTGATGAGGAGGTGTCGGGGATGTGGAGAGATGTGGAGAAGGCTAAGCCAGATGTCTGTGTTCAAGTATCAGAACAGTGTTATGACCTGGATTGGCTTAATGAAAAATGAAGTCCTCTGTTTGTTTCATGTTCAAGCCATGATATGGCTAGTTCCTTGTATATGTTTGTCATTTGTCTATAGCCGAGTTTTGAAATGGCAAATTGACTTCGCCCAGAAATTTACCACCTTTGTCCCAGCAATAGCCAGCTGTGTTAAGTCTGCATCAGTATTCACTCTTCTTTCTTTTAAATGCCATGTTCTGCAGAATCATTTAGTAATTCAAGCACCCAGATTGAGCCCCATCCGGCTCAACTTCGAGTGCAGCAGAACCTGTCAAAAGTTGTTAGAATAGTAAAAGACGCAACAACCTCCTTTACCAAAATGCCGACTGTTGATAATGGTTTTTTTTAATTGCGTCGTTAATTCTGTGAAGATAATGCTACTTAACTAATCATCAACATTATGGCAGAAATAAAACATAACAAGTAATAAATTTTTTTTCAAAAGAAAAAAGGCAAGGCGGCTCTATTCTGCCAAAATTCCAAGGGTTAGGACGGAAAATTTGGAATCTCTTGGCCGTGATGACTCATAAGCGACCAATTACGTGCCTCCACTAGCAGGGCCTGTCTGGTTCCTCTTTTCGTCGAAAGAAAACGCGTAAGAGGAGAGAAGCTGAGGAAAGCGAAAGCGACGAAGGGGCCACTCTGGAGAGTCTTGGGGCTCTCGGAATTACCGAGAAGCTTCCTCAGTCGCCCATGTGGCCTTTTGGTCAATGCCTTCTATTTATTATCATCCTCTCTACTTTTGGAGTACAGTGTGCTAGTATTTAACTATTCATTGATTATAAATATAAATGTAAACGCCGATCTTGTACGATGAACTCTGGCCCCCTGCCCTCCCAGAGAAATAGTCGCACGTGAACTGAAATCGATAAGCATCCAGTAACCAAAATCCCTTTTGATTTCAGTTCCTCTGGCGGCTTATGCGGTAACAAGCCAATGGAATCTTTTCTGCACGTTGTTCGGGACGAATTTATTTTACTGCGTGGAATTAAACATCGTGGTGTGCCTTCATGGTGTATTTCTGTGCAATCAAATCAAAATAATCAAATTAAAAAAAGTTGGTCAAAATATTAATTAAAAAAAGTTAATTGGAAATATATATGTATATATCATCAACATATTTTGATTTGATTGAAAGAAAGTAGCTTAAATATATAGATCATAGTATGAAAACCCCATCGGTTATACTAGTAAACTAATTCCCTAACCAATTGAATAAAAAGTTTTGGATTAATTGATCAAATTAAATCACACATATATTATTGAGTTTAAAGTAACATCATTTTGAGTTTAAGAAAAGGAAAAAATTCATCATATTTGTGTTTTATTAACCATTTTTATTAAGTTATATGTGATTTTATATATGAATATTTTGTTTAATGTCTTTTTTATTTCAATATTATTCTTTTTTCAAGTTATATATAAACATTTTTATACATTTTAATTAAATTATATTATTCTGATAATCAGTCACCGATCGATCAGCAAAGGTATATAATTTTTTTCCCCTTCATTTTCATCCAATAGCACCAACTACGGCGTGATGCTTGCGCAGAATGGACATATGTGGACCTAACGATGGAAAATTGCTATAAGAGGAGAGTCTCCATCACTTGCTGGTTTTCTTCCTCGTTGACGGAGACACTCCTCGATTTTTATTGGTGACGAATCCTATCAGGCATCACGGTGTGCCGATGCTTTTGTTTGGTACTGTTTAAATTTTATTCTTTTAACTAATTTGAATAAATTAAAAATATTAATTAAATTAACTAAGATGATATATTTTCTAAAACACTCTGATATTTTTCTTGCTTTCTTTCCCTTTTCTCTTACTTAATTGTTGTTGAAACAAATATCATCATAAAGATTGAGAAAAATCAGTCCTCAAAAGGTTAAGGATTAGTAATCCTTTTTAAAATGAAAAATCGAATAAATTTGCTCTTATATATAAACGAGGAAGGTAATAAAAAAAGATACATGATCAATTTGAAAAAAAAATTAATAAACATATAAAATAATTTTTACATATAGAATCAACGTCAATTCTTAAATTAGATCTTGTATTAACAAAAAGACCATTCCTTTTATGCCTTCTTTTAATACTACCCCCCGGCTCTCATCCTCGCTCCTGCCGAAAGAATATTCCTTCAACAACCGTGCTAGGCTTGACCTGGGTTTACTTAAATTTCTTAATGAAAATAAAAGCACACACTGTTTCATGTTTTCCAAACACAGGCATCATCATACGAACGTGAATATAGCTCGCCAATTGCAGCATGCCTCTTTGTTAGCGCCATAGAACAAAATTGACACGCAACGGAGTCCAAAAACCAGAGCATATCATTATTTAACTGAACATTCATGCCGAGCTGGCTATAGTGACGTCGTTTGCACATTTAGCATCCTGTAAACCTGATAGTATTCAACACGCTAAGCAACACACTCATCGAAGACATCTCGTTATTAGCATTTCAGGTTCTTATGGCCCAATATTCTCGCAAGCATGATCTAAAACCCGACCAGCCACAGCCGCATGTTTCGACCTCAACACATTGCTTCTTTTAACTTTTGCATCTAGGGGCACCCCATATTTTAAAAAAGAAAATTTACATGTCACATGAATCTATTTATGCAATTGTCTATATATTTTACACGATCATAAAAATTTACCGAAAACAGAAGAGTCAGCGACGAGCATGCAAAATGCGGTTCATCGGAATCTGGAAGGTATATTCATTTAGCCTGAGAGGATAACTGTAAAATTCGTCGTTTCTTGAGTCTCCCTTCCTGGCCTGGAAAGGCACCCACCACGGAACTCCTCTGTCGTTAGCAGTCCGCTTTGCGTCGAGTGTGTTGTCGAGAAGTGTTCCAACGATTATTGCCACAGTTGGGGGGGAAGAGAATATGGTGTTCAAAATGTCATTGAACTGTTGCAACACAATCAGATCAGAAAGACTATTTCGTTGATAACCTTATGAAACCAATAAACCAAATAAATAGCAAAAGAATGCCCCCTTACTAGAAGGAACATGAACAAGGAATCAAAAACTAAGAAACCTTGCAAGTGACTTACCCAACCAGCATTAGTTCTGGCCGGACCACGACCATCTTGAGTTGTGTAGGTAAGAAAATATTGCGGAATTGAGATCCCCAAAAAGAGAGATAAACCCAAAACATAGAGATTTCTCATGGAGTTGTTATTAGCAAACTGCATAAATGAGATCCCAACAGCAGCTGCAAAAAGAGAAGCAACAATGTTGTCACGCCCATTATTATTATTTGAAATCAAAATTCAGACAACTTACATAATAACAGCAATACCTACCTACGATTCCTAATAAAACACAGTATATAGCAGCAAATATCGGCAAGGGAATCGATGCAAAAAAGGCTCCAAATTTACCTGAAAGAGATATATGGTAACTTGATCACGCATAAAAATGTATAAAACAATAGGAACTTTCATCTGGTTCTAGGTGAAATATATTACCAAAAATAGAGAAGAAGATCATAAAACCGCATGAGATCTGTACTACTCTTCTGCTCCCTATTTGTGTTAACCCGAGTAGGCCAACATTTTCCCTGAAATAATACCAATCATGTTAGTCAGGGAAAAAAATCGAAAATGTCAGACTTGCTAGCATAATGAATAAAAGAGAACTCTCGTTTAGGTCAAAACTAATAATACTCCCCATCTTGTAAAGCACAGGCTCGGGCCAAAATCTAAGATTTCAGTTTTCAAATAGCAACAGCAGTCATGAAAATTGCTCCAAAAGAGTATAATCAAATATATACCTACTTTTTTTTTATAACAAAATATATGCCTACTTAAAAATGTTCATTAAGAAGAATTAGACAATTACGAACATCTTTCTTAGCCTCTAAAAAACCGTTACTACTAATATAACTACAAACGAAGCGCCAATATAAACACTACATATTTAGCAGAGTCAGTCAATCACTATAGGTCACAACCAAGGCATCCAAAACTTTTGATTAATCATGCTACAGTGGGGTTACAAGTGATTCTGGGAACATTTATGCTTACACGGATGCAGTAGTACCAACAATAGAACCAAATATGCCTTCAAGCAACATGCCCAAACCCTGTATTTAGGAGGTCAAAAAATAATAGTCAGTAGCTAGTATTATAACTGGTCTCAATATACCAGATTCTTGTGCGAAGCTAAAGAATAATCAAATTAAATTGATTATTAAGAAGCATAATGATTAATGACTAGTACTTCACCTGCAGCCCAATGCTTCGGCTGAGGACATGTGCAGGAGGGGGTGTAGCACCAGAAAGCCTAGCTGCCGCAAAGAAAGTCCCAGTTGACTGTATTGAAGGATTTAAAACTTCATCAACAGAGGAAACTCAAGCATATTATCAGTTATATGAAACTGGCTTGAAAAATTCGTAGGATGTACATGATCAACACTTCCAAGAGAGTGAAGCTGTCAAAGTTCTCAAAAGGATGCCCAAAAAAAAAACAAAAAAAGAAAAAAGTCGCAGTTGCTAGACCTCTGCAGAAGTGACAAGTGCTGCTCCCATCATCCCAAAGACATGACTAGCGCTGAATATGGGGGTACCCCATTGAAATGGATATGGAACTTTAATCCTGGAATTAAAAAGCAAACAAATGAGTGATTATAGATTTCCAGAAAAGCATTCAAACTCAAAATAAGTTAATAAAGGCATCACTATCTGAATATACCAAGGAGCAGATGACATGAGGTAGGAGCGATCTGTGCGGCAACTTGTTTGGGTCTGCTCTTTAGAATTGTTGTATGCACCAGCAACAGTAAGGATAGCAGCAAAAGCCCAGATTATGCCAATGCACATAAGTAAAGCAAACCTCTGAAGCACATGCTGTGCAGCGGGATGAATCACGCGCCTCAAATGCTGTCACATAGCAAAGATAAAAGTCTGAAATTTTCATTTTATATCATGAAGGGGCTAGCAACCACAGTACATCAAAAAGTCGTCCAAAAATTACACAAAAAAAGGTAGAGCCACCCCTTGAATGTCAAAACTAACTCCCCAGACCCTTGAGGGAATGAGCTAAAGATTTGCAGTTCCAAAGGGGAGTGAGAACCGAACATTTCAGGTGAGATAAGAGATAATAAACCTGCTGGATTATGACCAGTAGAATGAGCATGGGTAATCCGATCTCCACACAATTTGCAAGCTGTGTTGAAGCGGAGAAGTAGCACAGTTAATAACTCTTTATCCTTTCATCTTATATTATATTATGAACAACAATGTATTCAGACTCGCAAGTGCATAAAGGATATTTACCAGTGGGAAGCCCCTCATGAACAAACCAAGGCCTACCACACAAACCACCGGTACAATGACTATTGGGCTAAAGAATCTGGTTGACATAGAAAAACCACAAAGAATTACAGCAAGGAATAAAGTAAAGCTGCAACGTTTCTCACTGCTTTTAACAACGAACTGTATAGCCCCCCCCCCCCAAAAAAAAAAAAAAAGCAAATTAATATAGAAGATTGAGATTAATTTACCTTGTTAAATTTCCCCACACCTTACTATACCCAAGGATGATGTTGATGAAAGAAGAAACAATCAGGGAGCCTTGAATTGTCCTGATTGACTTGTTAAACCTCTACAAATACCATCATAATTACATATAATCATATAAGGCTTCAGCACTAACGTTAGTTATTGCGAGAATAATTAAGTTTCCAATGTCACAACCACTAAAATTTATTAAGGGGCAACCATACGAACCTCATGGTCAGATGAGAGATTGCGGTCATTGTAATCATTTATGATGGACATTACAGGGATGAAAAAAGCTATTGAAGAACCCATTACTACTGGAAGCCTTGACCCAAACCATGTCTGAAGTAAAGTGTTCACTCCGGACATCAATAACAAGGTTTGAATCACGCGAGCTTTGTCGCCCTGCTCAAGAAGACCTACTGTTTTAGTATGCTATAAGAAGATCAAAGCCAAGGTTGTTTGCAAGTAATGATGGTATGAAATTATAATAAGACAGGGGCCCATACTTACATGGCCCCCACCCATTTGAGGCACTAAGGTGCTTGCAATCAGAACTGTAGCTCCAAGCATCACGATGTAGTGCTGAAAACCCAGTAGACATGCCACCGCTGTCAAAATAGTTGGTGGATTCAGAAACCTATAAGTCGCCCAGTGGGCTAAGGAGAAAATAGCGCAAGCTAGGGAAAGCAACAATTAAAGAAATCGAAAAGAATTTATATAAATCTTACACAAACCGAATCACTTGAGAGTTAACATTAGTTGGATTCATTGACGCAATCCACACTAATAATAAGTAAAAAGGGGGAACTTTATAGAGAATCAGACTAGAAAAGGTAACAAAAAGCCATCTGGAATGAAGCCACTAGAGAAAATTTAAATATGAAAAAGAAATCCAGAACAAGCCACATCTTCCCGCTTCAGCGACAAACGTAGAGAGAAAGATGGAGCTGAGTTTCAATTTTTAATTTTTATTTTCAAAAAAATCCGGCTCCTATTAACATCACAAAGACCTTTATAGCTTTTCGGCATAAATAAAAGAACTTCCCTAAGGAAAAATGAACAAAAGAAGAAGAGCATAATCAGAAGGGCGGGGTACTAACGCCAGGAAGGATTGGAATGGATGCAGTAGTGAAGGTGAAGGAGTTGTTCGGCGGGTGTCCAAGTAGGCCCCCTCGAAAGTGCAAAATTAGGCGGCGGTGGTCCAGGCGGAGGCGCCTGCACTGGCTGCGGGGGATGGTGGTGCTCGGTTTCACCCATTTCACAATCCTTGATCCGGAACTTGTTTGCTCGCTAATGGAACTCGATATTTTCCCGATTCTTCTGGGTCTGGCGGAAGCACCGACCCAAGGCAGGAAGGCCTTTATGAACTACCGCTTAACAGAGTGATTAAATAAATAAAAGAGGAGTGAGGGAAGAGTTCAGGAATAATCCGATGTTTTTCCCTGTAAAATGCTGAGAAAGTAAGTGTGAAGAAAGCGATGTTGGGGGGATTACGCTATGGCCGTCGTGTTGCGAGTCGAAACACTTTTTGAGTCTTGAGTCTGCGTTGAACGCGTGGATATTCAGACTGTGTTTGTCTTGCAGCTTTCGAGGCGCCCTAACTTTCTTACAGCCTGCTTGTAAAAATTCTTGGATCCTATAAAGTGCTGGGTAAAATTAAAATTAAAATTTTAAAAATATTTTGTTAGTATAGGAAATAAATATGTGAATGAATTTATTTCGATTTATGAAAAGGTACTTCTGAAAAATATTTATTGAGTTATCCAAACACCTTCTTAATTTTCTTTGGCTTTAAAGATATTTTTAGGCCAAGAAATTTCGTAAGCTTTCTATTTCATAAAAAAAAAATTATGAAAGCTGCGGATACATCTTGGTACAGGAGTTTTCTGAGAGAACACCTCTGCACATTTTTTTTAATTTTTGAATCTGAATATTATTTTCAACTTAATAATATATGTTTTTGGGCTGTTGGCAAAAAATAGATCTTTTTTTTTCACGACTTAATAGTACTTGTTACAATTACTTAAAATTTCATGTTAATTAATAATTTTAAATGATAAAAATATTACTTTTAAAAAAAAAAAGTGACCAAATTACGACTATTAGTGAAATCATCCATGGACCTTATTAAATTTATCACACGCCAAATTATGTTTAACTCGCGCATAATATAACTTTATTTTGGTGCTTAAGATCCGTTTGGTTCAAACACATTACAGCCTTGCAATGATAATTTTTACCCCATATCATATATGCCTTATTTGGTTGAGCTTATAGACGGTAAAACAGATTGTACACATTTTTTGGTCATATGAATTGTATTGCTGATGCTTATGAATATGAATGGTTGAACCTGGCTGTTATGAAAATTTTAATTTTTAATATAAGAACTATTTAGTTAATTAAATAGATTAAAAAATTAATTAATTTAGTTATTTGTCACAAATATGAGTTGATTTTTCTAAAGTATCATTTTTAATCATAACTACTACCTCCGGTCCTAATTATAGGAGCTAGTTGACTAATTTGAAAAGATTAAAAAAAGAAATTAAGTTAATTGTTTGTAATAAATAGGTATTATTTTTCTAAAATATTCTTACTAATCAAGTGTATTAGCCAGAACTACTATTGTTAGAAGGACTATCTTAAAAAAAATGTATAAATATTAAAGACAAAATGAATTGGAGTCTTATATTTAGGACCAAAATAAAAATTAAACAAGGTTTTATATTAAAGACCTAAGGTAGTATTGTCAAATGAAAATCCCTTAACACGTATAATTATCACTAAAATATTTTAAAAAATAAACTAGAAATTTAAAAGACAAAATAAATAAAAATTTTGGCCATTGGTATATACTACATAGTATATATGCAAAATCACCGTTTTCCCGGGCGCAACGTCGCATATTAATAAATAGCTTGTTAGGACCGTACGAGAACATTAATTAAATAGAAGCCCCTTTTAATTTAAGATTGGACTTGAATGCATCCCGAAATATTTCTTTTGACATTTTAAAAATATTTTCTGATATATTTACCATTCTAAAATTTTTTCTTACTGATAAAAACACCAAAAAATATTTTATGATACTAGATCTAAAAAAATATTTTGAGGTAGTATGCATGTACTTTAAAAAAGCTCCAGGATAGTATATGTACCTAAACCGTTTAAAATTTCATAATGTATTTAAATACTCCTCTGATCCTATCTATAGAGCAAAGAAGAGATATTTTTTAGTCTTATTCCTAGGGTGTTGAGAAAAATTTGTGATGTGAATGTATAATTTTACCCTTCATTTATTATCGTATTGATTTTGTTTACATAAGGTATAATATATATATATTAGATATAGATAAAATTAAAAAGTTGTTGAATTTTAAATAAGAGTCAATAAAATTTAAAATTTAAAGTTTTTTTAATTTATATACAACATATTAAAAATAATTTATAAATAAATAAATAATACCAGACGAGTACTTGTTAAGTGCATATAGCCATAAATGCCGGTATTGGATTCTTATTTTGTTTCGAGATCATAAAGAACGAGGGGAAGTTATTGTGTACCCCTCTGCTAATTAATGCATCCATCTTTTCCATTTTATCCTTCCTGTGATTATCACGAATTAAATTTAAAAACTAATTGCGTGACCTCCACTTGATGACTTCACATGGGATATTTTTGGGGGAAAAAAACAAACTGAGGGCATTTAAAGCATTTAACTAATAAGACTAATTTTCATATCTAATTTATATCTGGGGAGAGAAGGAGTGCCGCAGAGCGACAATAATTAACGCATTATATGAATTTTGGAAAATGAGCTGGCGAAGACAATTCTGAAAAACGAGACATGCTGTCTTTGACTCTCGCAATAAGTAGTTTATTGTTGCAGTTTTTGCATTATGCGCGAACTCATATATAGACAAAAGTTTTAACATGTGACATATTATTCCTTCTAAAATAAACAAAAGATACAACAACGTACAATCACAGGTTTATAATTAGACCCTAGGTCAAGGTAAAATGATATTTTTCTAGCATGTCTGCGAACAAAAACAAGGAACTTCAAATTTATGAGCTGCCCAGAGGAAAACGTTTTAATAAAAATAAATCCATTTCGTTGGGTTGTCATTTTGGTCAGGAAGCCGAGCCGTGGTGGTTAGGAATAGGAACTAACATAACAAACACCACTTGAAACTGAGTTTATCCACAAGCAAAGCTCGTTGGAAATGACCTCAGTGGCGGGGGTTGGAAATGACCTCGGGGGCATGGCGGGGTCCACATAATCCCGTTCTAATCCGGAATCTGGCCTAATCGAACCACCTGTTATGAAATGAAGCGAGGTAATCACAATCAAATGGATGGGCGATGTGTGCGGATATACACACAGACGCACAGGCCATGAACCAAAATTCAAAGCTTTCATGATCAATGCTCGCCTTTACTTTTTGGCGTGAAATAAAAGGGATCCATACATCTCACCACCAACCACGTTCACATTGTCTCTCCCAACAAACAAACAAAGAGAGAGAAAAAGTAGAGCGATAAGCGATACTATGGAAGCAGGCAATGATGCCCTGGCTAAAAAGACCAAATATTTAAATCTCAGCATTAAAGTGCCAGATATTCGGCCCCCACTGCCACAGTTCCCAGGATATTCTTTTCCATATCACCATTTACCGGAAGCCAAGTGCTCTCAATTTATGCTTTACATTGGAAAATATCTAGTAATTATATGACACTGGAAAATGTAAATTAGAAATGGAACGGGGGCGTTATTGGTAATTTTGCGAAGAGGAAGGCGACAGATGAGGGGGATGCAGAGGGGGGGCAGATCGGCAACGGTCGTCAACATTTAAAACATCGCGCCAGCAAGTGGAAGCCACGTGATCTGTGGGGCCACATTTTTTTTTCCTTGTAAATACAAACACCCTCTTATTATAGACAATCTTATTTAAGATATTGTCAGACACTAAATATAAGAACCTCTCTCAGTAAGAATATTCGAACTCGGATGCATCGTGTTGTCACGGACTAATTAATTCTTTTAGACTCAACTCTTTTTATTGTGGGCCGCATTTTTATACGACAGGTTTGCTCTTCCCCGGTCAGAGAATAATAATTATAGGATCGATGATTGATTGAGATTGGGCTACGATACAAAGAGAAGAAAACAACTCCGATTCGGTGCGTGCGGCCCGAAAATGGCCCTTTTGCTGCGATTTTTTTTTTCCTTTTGGGTTTACCTTATAATCCAAACAAGTTTTAAAATGAAGTAAAAAATTTTAAATAATGAAAGTCTAGGACAAAAAACTCTTTTTTGAAACATCACAATAATTTTTACAATTTTTTATGTTCAGCAAATAATATATTCTTTACAAATTCCTGATCAGCACCTAACAACTGTAATCTTATTCGCCTTTCCCATATTCCCTATAATAAAATAAGGAAGTGTTTGGTAAAAGTCATATATATATATATATATTTGAAAATACATTTGTTTTTTCAAAAGCCAATTCGATAAACTGAAAGTTGTTCATATGATTTATAATGAAAATTATTTTTACATATATAAATTACCAAAAATAATATATTGAATAAGAAAAATAAACAAATATAAATAATGTAAAGTTTAGTTTGACATGTCAAACAAAAAAATTACATAAAAACACACACACACACATTCAAGGGACGACATGGGAAGACGTAGCGAAAATTTTAACTATATTTCAAAAGCTAAAAGCCGAAAGCTACCCTCTCCTATTTTTTCAGAATGTGTTTTTCGGGGTTTCTCAAATGGACTTTTAAATTTGCATTATAAACAACCACCAAACAAAAATTGACTAAAGTTGATCTGCCAAAAGGACTTCTGGCATGTAACTCCTGACTTCCAAGCTCCCTATATGTCACTGAACTTGACGCATAAAGAGCACTTGGGACTTTGTAAAACAACCCCCCCCCCCAAAAAAAAAAAGACCACTTGCAACTGCATTCCAAAACCCAGCAGGGGTCGTCACGTGCTCAAAGAATATTACATGGGTTCAAATCCCACGAGGACCCCATATCAAAAGTGTAGACGCCCCACTCCCCAAAAAACCCAAATTAAAAAAAAAATACCTCAGCTTTATTTAAATGCTCTGGTCACTTACAACGGCTAGCTGCGAATTGTCATTTACAAGCATAGTGCCATGAAATATGCGACAAAGGGCTAAAGCAGAAAGTAAGGAAAACGATCAGGGTACCAAGTCGTGGAGGACTCGTTGGAATTCACATCTTGCCAGTGGAGAATGGGTCTGGATTTCTTGAAGGAAAGAGGGTGGAGCCTGTGAGGCCCCAGTCTGGCCACCACCTCAAACCGAACCCACTCAATTCTGCGCCTCTCGCGATTGTACCATTCCTCGTCTCTGTGTCTCCTTTCGTATCTGTAATTTCTTCCGACGTCCCTTTCCAATCCTATGAGGAATTTGACAGCAGCTGACGCCTTTCTATTTGCTTCCAAGGAAACAGACATGGGGTTTTCAAGCATCCCGGGCCCTACAAGGCTCCTCCAAATTTTTTCGGCCATTCTTAATCTCGTACTCACAGGATCAAAAGGGCAAGGTTGCTTTTGGTACCTGCTAGCACTACGGAGGTGCTTGTCTGGAAGCAACAGAATGGCGTCGTGCGGGATAGAAACAGTTCGTACGAGCAGAGCAGGGCTTCGTTCTACATAAGCAGCCAATGACGTAGGGCCAGATATGCGTACGTAAACCAATTGAATGCAGGTAGATGACAACATGAAGGGCTGGTAATCACTCTCATACTCGTCGTCAAACGTCATACTTCCATCCATTAACAGATCATAATCGGACGAGTAATGCAAGGACACTTCTAAAGCTCTTCCTATTTGTAATGTGATGCCTTCACCAACAAGGATGCGTTTCAAACCAGCATGCGAGATATTCATCTGTTAAGAGATTAAACCACGGTCAGAACAACCCAAATGCCACCAATATGCATATAATTTGCAACGTAAGAAGGACGATGACGCTAGTTGCCAGATTTTCCGTTAAGAGATTCGTCTACGTGAAAACGGACTCTCATATTTCTCCTCGTATTGTTATCCTCGCTAGTTGCTCACAAGAAACTGGTTAATCAAATGGAATTGAACATTTAACATAATTCATGAAATTCGTCTCTTTTATATCGTTCCTAAAGAGAATTTATGCTGACAATTTTAACTCGCAACATGAGAAGTATTAAATTGTAATCGAGTACACAAAATGTTTTCTGTGAAATTCTTCAGATGAAAAAAATAAATGCAAGTGTGTGCAGTTTTAGATGGACACGCTCTTGGAACAAGCACAGGAAACCGAGTACAAAATAAAGAATCCAATACTCTTTAAAGCAAGATTAAGAAAGAAACCGAAGGAGGCTAGGTAACTGGTATATACCGGCAAGGAGAGGGAGAGTTGATGAGGAGGATCGACCCTAAGCTCGAGTGGACCTTCGATTTCCAAGGTATCCAGTACAGCCCGCGAAGCAACCCCATGAATAAGAGAGTATAAATCGGTTTTGGGTTTTCTAAATTTTCTCCAAAACACAAAATCGTCCGGGAATTTGATAGCGCCAAACTGGTTCTTGTCCAACTTAATAGAGAATTCATAATTCTGGAAGGTGACAAACCTCGCCTCCACAACGTCCAACTCAAAAATTCTTACATCCCCCAAATTCCAATTCAGCCTCGCTGAAATATTCTTTAAAACATCCTGATACCGATGAAACAAAGAGAAGTGGTTGGATGGAAACAGACAGATATAAAACAAAGAATCAGATCAAGAGTGTTACGAAAAAAGAAGAAACAAAAGAATCAGAGATAAAGATGAGTTATTATAAATTAAAGAAATAGGCAGATAATGGGGCGTACATGCAATAGGTGGGAAACATCGGTTTGAGGGGGGGAGGCGATTGCAAGAAGAGGCAAAGCGGGTGCTAAATGTAAGTCACGATAGAATTGAAAATGAATCAGAAGAAAGAAGAGTAGCATCGAAATGTGATCAGTTGCCATCCTCGTCTTCCCAACGAACAATGCTTCAGCTCGGGATTCTGATCGCCTTGTGACGAATATGAAAAGCATGCAACATATTTATTTATGGCGGCAAGTTGCCAAGATTTTACTTTCAATTCTTTAACCTTTTCCCCCTCGGCCAAACCACATATCATGGAAGGAGCCCAAAATCAAGTATGGTCAAGCCATGCCATATGGTTGTAGAAAAGTCTGAAGGAGAATAACTTCAGAACAAACTCGCAACTATTGCAGCAAAAACTTTTTACAAAAGCTCTAGTAGCAATTCCTTCGAGAAGAAAATTTTCAAATTATGGAAAAAATTACTTTTTATATCGAATACAAATATTGCAAACACAAAAATAAAAATAATTGTAATTACCAAAAAAATAAAACCCAGTACTTCTCGACTTCACTATAAATATACATCCGTACATATTCACATAGTTGTGGAAGCTTCATTTTTTTTTATTCGGCCACCCACATAATCGACGAAGCTTCGTTGTCGACCTTAGGGTCGGGCATTAGCACCATGAAGTGGCACATACAAAAACCTATCAACATGTTGCTTTCTTTCCCGAGCTCAAAAAAGAAAACAAAAAATTCTGTTCTTTTCTTCTTTTTTCCCTGCATGCAAGACCGCGCTTTTTTTGGGGGGGGGAGATAATGGCCTTGCTCTTTTTCAAGAGCACAAATACTCAGAATGCGACCAGAGCGAGGCACAGTTGAGTTCCCTTATGTCATCAATGAATATATTCACACCGCACATTTCTTAAAGTGAACAGCATACTCTGGGTCAAAAAAGCGCGAAGCCGTCAACCGATGATGTCAAGAAATTGCCACACAATTATTTGCAGGAGTCAGTTTGCAAGTCTCGGATACTTTGGATGGAGGCCAGTATTGAAACATGGATCTACCAACAATGTTCTTAATAGGTAGCGGACCCCTATCACACACACACAACACGTACGTTAGAGATCTTAATCCTAAAACAGGAGCCGCGTCTCCATACAGTCCTACACACACACAATTCTCAAACTAATTTCAGATGGCAAGTACATAAGCATGACCTTCTATAAAGAACGGCCTTCACGGATGGGCCAAAATAGATCTTCCATCCCTCCTAGATCAATGTCTTCCAACAGAAACAATAAGAACATTAGTAATAAGAAGAATCAGTTTTTACCGGTTATGCGAATCAAAGCTATTATTGCGATTGTCTCCCATCACAAAGACATAACCTTCAGGCACAACCTGCAACCAAAACAATCAAGGGAAAAACGCCTAAACACGTTGCCAATGGCAAGATCAACCAACCAAATTTCATAGCCAATCAGAATGGGAAAGAACCAAGCCAGCTCTGCAGTTTGCATGCCAACTCGACTGGCTTGGTAAACTGAGTTTCATGAATCAAAGAATTTGAATTTAAGCTGAAATGTTGTTGTTCAATTCTCCATTTTTTATGATTCGTTTGGTTCTTGAGCCAACCAGGAAAAAGTTACATATGTAATAATATGTTTTTTTGAGGTTTTACCAGCGGATCCATGTCATAAGCGAGTGGCTCCAAAATGAATTCTTCTTCTTGAGCAATACCATTAACCAGTAACTTTCCATCAAGAACCTACCAAAAATTCCAGAATCCATAGAAGTTAATAATCAAGATGCTATAGTTTTGAAAAAGAAACAACAATAGTAGCTAAAGAAGCGTTGAACCAAAACGCCAACATTTTAGTCAACATTAAAAGCTTACCTCAACACAGTCCCCAGCCTTCGCCACAATTCTTTTTATAAATACATCGCCTGAACCATAACCAATTTCCTACAAAGCCCCATACGTTAAAAAGTAAACATTATTACCACGCCTTAGATTAAACTAGCCGAGAAGCAAGAGAAGCAATACGTTCCAAAATAAGTACAAGATACCTGCAAAATAGGAGGCGCCTTAAAAATCACTATATCGGAAATATCAGGCCTTCTAAAGAAGAAGGAAATCTGTTACGTCGTTCACAATAACCCATTGCAGTCAGTTTATAAAAAGCTGAGGCAAAATAACAACAGTTACCAAGTAAACATAACGTGCTATAGTCCCGACTCAGCCTGATCACCTACTTTTCAGCTATGAGCAGAGGGAAAGAATCATTAACCTTTCGATGGGGACTCAAGGAGACACATACAGGACAAGGGCATCGCTTCTTAATGCATGGAAGAGAATTAGGATATCAAAGGGGGAAGATAAAAGGTGATCTTTATATGTTAGTAATAGCTTCAACACCAGAATTTCGTCATTTACATGACATATTTAATTGTACTAACAATGGCCAAAATTCAGACCAATTGGATTAGTTGGGGTCTATACTAAATACGATTTCTAAGAGCGAGGAGTAGAGATGTAATGATAAAGGGCGAGGAAAAAGGTAACTTATATAGTGATATTTGCTGCCACATCTGAATTTGGCAATTCACTTCAAGGCCTCCAGATGCAAATTAGAAACACACATTCTCGCCATACTGGGGCAGATAGTACATACTTTCTTAAAATAGAATCATACACTAAAAATACCAGTTAAATTTGTGAAGAAGAAGAATTCTTCAAGGGTACCAACCTTCTCCGCCAAAATACGGTCACCTACATTCAGAGTTGGGTACATTGAGGACGAGGGAATCGATCTCGGTTCAGCCAGGAATGATCGGAAGAGAAAACTAACAGTAGCGGCAGTAAACACAGCTTTCGCATCCTCAGAACAGATTCGTAAAAAGCGCAAAAGCCAGCTTGTCTTCTCAACATCCTTAGAAGTGTACCCCGACCCCTCGTTATCTTTCGCGCTAAAGCCACGTGTTTCGCCTTTATCCTTCACACAGCTTGCGATGAAGGGAATCGACTGGTTACAAGGAAGCCACTTCGACCCCTGTAGAAAGGGTATAATTGAAGTAGGTTTCCACGGGGAAATATCGCAAACAGCTGTACCCACGCCACATGAACCAGATACACCAATAGTTGAACTCATCATCGAAATCAAACCCGAAACGAACGGGTTTTTAGAATTATCACCCAGAATTCTCGCCGCGAGAGTCGTACAGGTAGATGCTGAATTTCCAGCACAGCAATTGGTTTTGGGTCGCCTGAAATTGGAATGGTAACTACGCACGCCGCAAGGGGAGGAGGAATTGACATCATGCTTCTGTTGGCCAGGACAAAACATGCGAGACCGGCTCCAGCATTCTTGGAAGCATGGGGTAGACGTGACACGAACAACGAACAACGGCCGTCGAAACCAAGCTTCGGGCGACATAGCCAGAATAGCTAAAAGTAACCCGGATAGCCATATCAGCAAAACGAGGTGACTTGATGAAGATTGGAAACAGAGCGACTCTGTAGAGTAAGAAGGGAGATTAGAAAGCCCATCAATAATGGGAGAGGAGAACGGAAACCTCTGTGACAAATGAGGGGGCAGAGACTCTCAGGCAAACCAAATTCCAGTGGGTTTCGTTTTCAGAAGGAAAGTGAGAGAAAAATAATCCTTGAATTTGAAAATTTTCAAATAATCATCCAAATAAATAAAATTTCAGTGCAGATATAACCGAGGAAATTAATATTTTCAAATTTGTTAAAATAACTATATTGCCTTTTATCTTTTTTGTTTTAAAAAATTAAGCTCCCTTATTGACTGGTTGGTTGCCGAAGTTCCAGTGGCCGTTGATTAATGGAGCTGGTTGCCAAAGCTTCAGAGCTAAGGCCCACATGAACTCCGGTGCTTGTCACTAACGAGAGTGCTTAATTAGTTTTTTTTATTTAAAATAAAAAATAAAAAGCAAGATGGTTGTTTTAATAAATTTGAGAATCTCAATTTGATTAGTTATCGTTAAAGGATACGTGGGTGAAAACCAAATCATAATTTTAAAAATAATTTTATAATATAAAAAATATGTGGAGAAGTTTGTTTTGATTTACGAATTTAAGTGTTTTGAAATACTTGTTTCGACGACAATCCTATTCGAAGTACTGTCGGGCACTAAATGTGGGAACCTCTCCCAGCTGGGATTCAAACTTGATTCGTCATGTTATGAGAGACTAGTTTCTTCCTCTGGATCTAACTCCTGTTGGTGAAATTTTATTTATCTGAGTCATCATTTAAGAATTTCACTAGTGCGGTGACCAGTGTGAGAGGGCAAAATCCATGAGCATTGCAGACTCATTTTTCTTTCTGGGCTAAACTTCTTTGCGTCATCGAAATGAATGGGCCGGAAGGTTCAATGACACACGTCCCTCGGCACGCTCGTGGCTTTCTAAGTTAGAGCAGCCCAACTGACAAAAATGTTTCCTCTTTGAAAGCCCCTTTTGTTCTCGATGGTATGCTGTGCCAATGCGGAGGCCGCTTCTCCGAATTAATGCTGTGATTAATTATCCACGCATTGAGGAACAGTTTGTTTGGAAAGAAAGGATTGTTTTCCTCAAATTTCAGCATCAAACATAACAGAGATCCACGACTAAATAGAACCATTTAAAATATCTGCAGAACAGATGGGAGATGGGGGCGTAATGCTGCGGAGAGCTTATTGGGTTCTTTCGGCGGAAAATATATGGAATGTGAGCCATATCTCCCCCCACCACCCAACCCAAAAGAAGGCAAAGAGAGAATAATGAGAGGAAAGAAATAATTGGGAGTGAGGATGCTGTCTCCTCAGCTGAGTCATGAGTGTGGAATTAAAATAGATCACGCGCACTGCCGTGCTCATGAATATGAGTAGGAGGCGTGGCCCCTCATCCATGTCCTCTCTCTGCCGCCTTCTTTTCATTACTGCCAAAGGATCATATCTCCCATCCCACACTGATTCAAAACAACGCCAACATATTCCCATGTTTTGAAAACACAGCCGTGTTAGCTCAAGCTGTGGCCCCCTTAAATCCAGGCCCCGTCCTCCATTTCGTTGCTGTTTGACTTTGACCACGTTTCTTCCTTATTTAAAAAAAAAAAATCGTGAGCAATACCCACGCCTTGGACCCCACCTCATATTATGCGTCTTCAACCCTCTGAAGTCTGTACCAATCCCCCCGCATCTTGCCATAAATAAATGTTCATATTTGGTACATTTGAACAGAAACAATACCTACGTAACCATAGATATTTTACCCACTGAATCATAAAATGAGCTTCAATTGTTCCAAAGCACTGAGCTATGCAAGCAGTGAGCATGGGTGTGAGAGCAGCCTAGGCTTCAAGCGAGAACCGCCCAAAGCACTACGAGGCATTCTCACAATAATCAACAAATCTTCATGGCGCCTGCTAAATGTACAAACTTTCATGCTTCGAAGATGGCTTATATCGCTGAGGCCCCAAAAAAGTGAAAAATAGGACGGCACATAGTTTACAGTTATCGGATCCTTTTTCTTTCTGCCCGCCCCTCCCTGGCTCCCAACCATCAAAAGCCTTTCTTTAATAAAGTATTATTTCCTTCCTTTTTATTCATAGGGACAAAAGCAGCCCCTTATTCATGATTGTGCTCTCATCTTTCTTCTTATATAGTAGCTACTATTATAGTTAAGAGAGTAGAGACAAATAGACCGGGCTAGTGCGAACTCCGTTTGGGTCAGCGAGCTCGCGATGGAGGAGAGGCCGGAGACGGAGCTGATATCAATACCGGCGACGCCGAGAGTGTCGACGCCCGAGATACAGACGCCGTCGGGGCAGAGGTCTCCGAGACAGGGGTCCAAGGAGGCGAAGTCGTCCAACGCATGGACTCCGACGTCGTTCATATCGCCCAGGTTCCTGAGCCCAATCGGAACGCCGATGAAGAGGGTGCTGGTGAACATGAAGGGTTACTTGGAGGAGGTGGGCCACCTCACGAAGCTCAACCCTCAGGACGCATGGCTTCCGATCACAGAGTCTCGCAATGGAAATGCTTACTACGCCGCTTTTCACAACCTCAATGCTGGTGTTGGCTTCCAGGCGCTGCTTTTGCCCGTTGCCTTCATTTATCTTGGCTGGTACATTTCTTTCGTCACTCCTCCTCTATCACCGTTTAGAATTTTAAAATTTAATTTCGTTTCTCAACCTTCATAACTTGTTACTATATGCAAGTCTTTACTCCTCTTTTCACACAAACATCAATTAATTATAGTTATAATTTCATTTTAGTTTTTTATTTAATGAATAAATACGAGATGCATTTGTTTTTCAGCGGCACCACCGGTACATATGAAGTCGCTTTAATTATTTTATTGGTCACTGTTACTAATTCCTTCTGTCCCTAAAAACTTTCTTTTTTCGTTATGCTGAAGAACTGTCTCCCTTTAGCCTCACATACTTATGAGACATGATAGCTTAAAGGATTTCGAACCACGCCAGCGGCAATCTGTTTGGTGCTTTGGCTTTCCTTTTTTCCAAAGCTTAATTATTTGCAAGGAAATAGTATCACAGCATCAGCCTTCACTGGGTCCACCGCCAAAACTGTCCAAAATCTTTCTTTCGAATCTTCGATAGCTGTATACATTTTTTCCTCGACACTTCTGCGATTTGAAAGCACTTTTTGACCGTGATTTCTTTGGTGACCTGCGCAATAAGAAAACCTGTCCAATTGGATTATTGGACTGATTAGTACAGGTTTTAGGTACATGAGAACGTATATCTGAGGCCACTAAGGCGAAATATTGTGCAGGAGTTGGGGAATCATTTCCTTGATTATAGCATACTGTTGGCAACTATACACCCTATGGATTCTGGTTCAGCTACACGAAGCAGTTCCTGGGAAAAGATACAACAGATACGTGGAACTCGCCCAGGCAGCATTCGGTAAGTCATAATTAAGTTGAAACCAACATGTACCATCTACTTCCTTTCCTTACCTCTCCTTGGTTTGATGCAGGGGAAAGATTAGGCGTGTGGCTATCTCTGTTTCCAACAGTTTATTTGTCAGCAGGAACAGGAACGGCTTTAATTCTATTCGGCGGGGAGACTATGAAATTGTTTTTCCAAATAGTTTGTGGTCCTACGTGTACCTCCAATCCCCTAACCACCGTTGAGTGGTACCTGGTCTTCACTTCTCTGTCCATTGTTCTGTCTCAGCTGCCAAATCTCAATTCAATCGCAGGACTTTCACTCGTCGGTGCTGTCACGGCCATTACTTACTCCACCATGGTCTGGATTCTCTCCGTTAGCCAACAAAGGCCACCCTCTATCTCCTACACACCTCTGTCCTTGCCGTCGTCTTCTGCTTCTGTTTTCTCTGTCATGAATGCACTCGGAATCATAGCTTTTGCTTTCAGGGGCCACAACTTAGTCCTAGAAATTCAGGTATAATAATCACCGTTTCTGTAGTTTCACCTTTTAAAAGTACCTCCAAGGCTTACGCATGGTTAATTTCTTCTTAATTTCAGGCAACAATGCCATCGACTTTTAAGCACCCTGCTCATGTGCCGATGTGGAAAGGTGCCAAGGTTGCATATTTCTTCATCGCAATGTGCCTCTTCCCTGTTGCTGTTGGAGGCTTTTGGGCCTATGGAAACCTGGTAAGGGTCTCCTAGATTTCTTAGTATTTGAGGCCTTATATTCATTTGAGTTTAACACGATGTCATTTTGTGTTGTTGGTTGTTACAGATGCCTCAAGGAGGGACTCTGGCGGCTTTATATGCATTTCACAGCCATGACATTTCAAGGGGGATTCTTGCCTTGAACTTCCTTCTTGTTGTGTTTAGCTGCTTGACCAGTTTCCAGATATACTCAATGCCTGCTTTTGACAGTTTCGAAGCTGGGTACACCAGCAGAACTAACCGTCCCTGCTCAATATGGGTGAGGTCAGGCTTCCGAGTTTTCTTTGGATTTGTGTCCTTCTTCATAGGAGTGGCACTTCCCTTTCTCTCAAGCCTCGCCGGATTGATGGGAGGACTCACTCTTCCGGTGACTTTCGCATATCCATGCTTCATGTGGGTTCTCATAAAGCAGCCCACCAAATACAGCTTCAATTGGTACTTCAACTGGATTCTGGGTTGGCTGGGAGTTGCCTTTAGCTTGGCCTTTACCATTGGAGGTATTTGGAGCATAGTCACTAATGGGCTCAATTTGAAATTCTTCAAACCTAGTTGAATTCCTAAACGTCATGTAATCGCTACCTATATCATCTTATTATGCAGTTTTGTTTATTTCGGGTCTGTGTCAGCTCCTTCCTGTATGCTTTACATATGTATAACAGATATCAATTCAAGTAGAAAGAAATCGTTCGTCATATGAACGGCCACCGTATGCGACGCTTTCGTTGCTCAAGTTGCTTTGACTTCCCTTTCCAAATGAGATCCATATCAAATGAACTATTCATTAGGTTCTTTCTATAACAATTTTAGTTACGCCCCCCCCCCCCCCGGGGGATATACTATGTAAACAATCCTTTTTAATACACGCCGTTAGCAATTTAAACAATAAAAGCTTACGACCAAACATCGGCCAAGGAAAACCTAATAATGATTAGCGACAATTATATGTATATTATATATATTCCCGAATGCAACTACGAGATGTACATAACTGCCAACCCTCAAGGCCCTAGATTAATCTATAGAACAAGTATAGATAAAGAGGACCAGAAACTTGAGAGGGACTTTTAAATCCCAAACCATCAATATGGAACAAAGATAAAACAACAGAGGATGCGGAAGAACTTTTCCTGAGCTAATAATACATCATTGGGCTGTTAGCGCGATAAACGACATCATTGAGGTAGTTAATAAGAGATCGCACTCGAGAAGCAGCATGCAATCCCGAGCTATGCCCATCTGATTAACATGTCGACCAGTCAAATCATTGATGTGGGGTCACACATCCGGTGGAGGACCACAGTAGCGGCTACTCAATCATCTAGTTTCATTTTCCAAACAGAAAAAAGGGAAGGCCGAAATACATATACAGAATATCATTGAAGTAAACATATTCAACATAGATACTTTCCAAGGTGCAGCTGCTGCGGCATGTGATGGACGAAGCAGGGAGGCACCAAAACATACTTGCACAGCTAGCAAACAAGCATAAATATTTATTAAAAAAAAAAAAGGGTATTGGTGGTGAGTCTATGTGGGTGGGTGCGAGAAAGATGAGGGGATAGGGTACTAGTTGAGGCTATTGGGAGGATGGCGGAGCAGAGTAAGTTCATGCCATGCGCTATAGTCAGAGTGGGGAGCAGGGAACTCGGGAAAAGCCCCAGTCTGTCCACGAACAAACTCGTATGAAAACCCAGTTAATCCAAACGAAGGACAGGCCGTCGATGTTCCGCGGGCAGTGGTGGGGGATGGTACAGTGCAAGAAGAAGAGGGAGCGCGCGGCTTCTTAGAAATCTTGCGAGTGGCACCGCCGACGGGAACGTTGCGGAGTGTGCCGCCGTGGGTCCAGTAGCGACGGCAAGACTTGCACAAGTAACGCGGCTGGGAAAGGTTGTAGTTGTTGTAGTAGCAGAACTTGGTAGCTGTGGAGTCGCAACGAGGACATGGCAAGGGTTCGCTGCGCTGCGGGGGAGGGAACCCCAAGCTCTGTTGAGGCCTGGAAGCACCACTCAATGCTTGATCAGCATCCATCTCCCGTCTCGGGCAAGCTGTGGTTATGAGACCGAGCTTGTACAAAGATGGTAAGATGATATTGGGAGAATTACAATGGGTGCTCCGTTGGTGTTGGTGGTGGTGGTAGTTGGTGTGAATAATGAAATGCAATTTTGAAGAAGAATGAGGTTTGACAATTTGACCCAATATGCTCTCAGCGCTTTGGTCGTTTTCAACGCTCAAAAGTGAAAACACGATAGAGTCCTTTTAATTACAGTCCCGACGACCGACCTTCCTAAAGCGGAGTGCTTTCATGCTCTGTTTATCGTGTCACAGCGTGGGATAATTCATATAATTGACAACCAACAAAGACTGGTTCGCATCGATCCGCCCCAAAGGAGACGGGAAACAATGATACTCATCCCACTTTTACTTTCCTCCAAAGCCCTCGAGTATAATATATTGATCATTTGAATTCTAAAATTTAAAACCCATGATTAACCAATACTACCTTTCCGATTCTTAATATAAAAGTTCATTTGACTTTTATTTAAATTTTAAATATAAGATCCTACTCTATTTTGTTTCTTATATTTATTTTTTTTAAAATAGTTCTTGTAATAATAGTAGTTCTAACCAATACATTTGATTAATAAGGATATTTTAAAACAAACAGCATATATTTATTACAAATAACTAAATTAATTAACTTTTTTAATACTCAAATTAGTCAACTATATCTTATTAGTCAACTGTCTCTTATATTTATTCATATATTTTATACATATTGATATCTCTCATGTGGATTCACTAGTAAATAAAGAGTAATAGAGGAAAGGTTAACTTGTGAAGAATCTCCTGTCCGTTAGAATCTTGATATGAATATAATGTTAAGGATTTGAAAGCTATCAATATGCACGCTCGGACCCGACTAAGAAAAGTGGCCAATTCCAGTGGTTCGTGTCTGAAAGTGGCCTTACGAGATGCACTGTTCATAAAAATCAGAGAAAATAACGTACTTATTGTTATTGAAAAGTAATAAGAAACGCCTTTACCGGGGAAAAAAAAAAAGAAAAGTAATTAGAAATGCGCGGTAACTCAATCCACGAAATTATTACATTGAAGGATAATAACAACACTGGCGAAGCATATAAAACAAGCAATAATAAAAAATGTAAATGTTTACTTATTAGAGCATACTTTTATTCAACTGCCAAATAGGAATCACTCCCATATAAAGCTGGCATGTCTCAGACCCATTCACCGGTCAAACTTAGAGAGCAAACGCGGCGTTACTGATCCCTCCCCATTAATTTCTGGGCTTGATTTTCACATGCAGTGGGTGGAGCCTGTGTGTGGTGAGGCCCACAGTATCCACATTTTCTTCTGCCCCTTCACTGAGCTCCCACTCAAACTCCTGAACAAATCTGCCAATTGCAACGCAGGCTATTAAAGTAGCCTGAAGGCTGCCTGTGCACACCCTCTTTCCTGCTCCAAACGCCATTGTCTTGTACAAATCCGTCGTGTCATAGCTCCCATCCAGAAATCTCTCCGGCTTCCACTCGGAAGAATCCTCCCACTTGTTCTTATCCATGTTACATCCATAAATATTTACCGTTATCTGTGTTCACCACCATATTGTCAAATATCGGTCAACCCATCACTGCACACGAACCTCAGAAAAGAAATTAAGTTCGAAAGATCAATTCACCTCGATTCCTGCGGGAATGTGATATCCTCCCAATTGGGTGTCCTCGTGGACGTATCTCAGAGGCACAATTGGAACAGGACTATGCCTCCTCAAGGTTTCATGGAAAACAGCCCCCAGATATCGCAGTTTTGATAATTCTTCTTCGGTGACCTTGTTATGTCCACAAACATTTTGGAGTTCATGATACAGTCGTTCCTGTAACCCAAACACAATGCGGAACGAATGAATATTCACGGACCAATATATTCTTTGAAAATAAGAACAAACGGAGAAACAGAATAAACCTGTCGACTTTTATCCCTAGCGAGTTCATACATAGCCCATTCTGAAGTCACTAATGTGGTATCTGATGTCTCAACAATGGTTTCCCAGAGCAGCATAAGAATTTGGTCTTCGGTTAGTTCCGATGATGAAAACAGATAGTCAATGTAACAGTTTACTTCCTGTAACATTCAATGATGGAGGAATAAGAACGACCACCATTATACTGTATTTGTAAAAAGATGTAGTACTACTCTTAAGGTAAACTAACCCTCCCAGATTCAATTCGCTTCTTCTGCTTGTCCAGCAATGCCCTCATAACAGCTTTTCTGCGAAAATCGATTCCTCGAATCTTCTCCTCATGGCTTTTGTTTGGAATCCATTTTAGGTACGGGAAAAAATCGCGCCAATCCACCTCAATTGCACCCTCCATCAAGTCAAGTACTAGAATCTTGTATAAATCATCTTTTGTTAAGGTCTTGCCGAGCTCCTCCACAAAAATTGCATCTACAACTTCTCCCAACGCCTGCAAATTTCACTGTGCTCTGTTTTCTTGTCGTCTCTTCATACTGAGAAAAATACTGATATCAAATGAAAACTTACTAGCTTTAGGGAGAGTCCAAAGAGTTCGGATGCAAATATATCCCTGAAATTTACAGCTTGATTAGGGGAGGCGTTCACATGCTCATTCAATTGCTTTGACATGTTGTCCATCATGGCTTCTCTGTGGCCTCGGTGTTGTTTCTGAAAATTGTGGAGAAACAACAACGACAACAAATAGACATCATGATTTCTTTCGTAATCAAGTAAAAAAAAGAAAAAAAGGAAGAGGCTTTGCGCTTGCTCAAACACTCAAAGTAACTGGAAAGCCACTGCAACCAACCTGTGCATTCGCCCCAAGAACGCTTGTGAGAATATGTTTTTTGATGATTTTATGAAAATCATCGTAATCACTCATGGCAACCATGCATTTATTATAAGTCAGAACTTTAAGCGCATTTGATAGCTTCTTTGATGAAATGGAGGAATATCTGGTCACCATCGCCTGAAACAACCATAAAAAGCAGAGGCAGAATGAAAAGCGTTTTCCGATTGACTGATATGGTTTAGTCAACTGACATATGTTAGAAAGGGCAAACAAACCTCCTTGGCCACTTCGGTGGTGTTGAGAACAACAAGGGTGGAGGCACCGGTTCGGATGGAATAAACGGGTCCATATTGCTCAGCCCACTGCGTGAACGTCTTGTAAGGTTTCTTCTCCTTCAGTTGCAGCAGATTGCCAATCAGGGGTAGTCGCCCTCTAACCTCTGCGACAATTATTTCACCCCATTCCCCCATTACTCGTTTCATGTAATATAGTGGCATCATTTATTTCTAGGATACATACTAGGAACTTTAATCCACAAAATAATTAACGACGGACAGTAATACCTGGCACTGGAGGAAGCTCAGATTTCTTGCTCCAGAGGAAGCTGTTGAATTTTCCAAGGAAGAAGACGAGCAACAGCAGAGAAAAACCACCCAACGCAACAGTGAATGCCAAGGGCTCTCTGGGAACAAGTTCAAGTATGTCGCTCACGAAAGCCATTGTTCTATTATAGGCGGATATTTCCACTATTTCTTTCTTGCACAGAGTGAGCTGGGTCCGCTGGTATGAAGGGCTGTATTTATAGCCTTGTTGTTGATTTCACGAGTCTTCCTATGAATATTTGAGTCATTATTGCAATTAAATTCTTTAAACAATCTGCCCTTTTTAGATCTTCAAAAGAAATCAGTAAAGCTGTTCACCCGCCCGTATTACTGGGGGGTGAAAGTTTTTTTCATTTTTATTTATTACGAGGGATTCATACATTTTTAAAAAATTGCTTAATTAATATCAGCCAGTCGTCTGCGCAATTATGCCTCTGTTATGTCTTTTTCCACTCATTCTTTTCTCTAGCCATTTTTTGTATAGATAACAATAATACTTTTATTAAAAAATAAGTTATATTTTTTACCTATTTATTATTTTTAATTAATTTTAACTTTTTTTTATTCTATCGATAATTGAAGTATCCATAGAAAGGAATATACTACCTCTGGTTCTAATTATAAGAGCTAGTTGACTAATTTGAGCAGATTAAAGAAATAAGGTAAGTTAGTCATTTGTAATAAATAGGTGTTATCTTTCCTAAAATATCATTATTAATCAAATGTATTGGTTAAAAATACTAGTAATAGAAAGACTATCTTGAGAAAAAATAGATGAATATGAGAGACAAAATGAATTAAAATCTTATAATTAAGATCAAAATAAAAATTAAATAAGATTTTATATTAAAATTCAGAGCAGTAATAGTGGTAATACTAAATGCAGGTAAACAGGAAAGAAGAGTGAAGCATTAAATGTGCCTCCAAATATGGCCCCGTGCATGTACTAAGCGGTAATGTGACATTCGTTCGTGCTCGTAGCGTAATAAACAGAACCAGATGTTTCTGCGCAAGGTGCATTCACCGCAACTTTTATGAGTGTATCATCATTTACGCTGCGTTGTAGAGTAGTATATATGTATATTATCTGGATGCATATATCACATACTTTGAACATTCCTCTTTAGTAAATGTGGATGGTCATAAGTAGAAACACAAAAGAATAAATGCTATTGAATGCGCCAAAAATCATAAATTTCAATCAATCACTTGTGTTTTATTTGTAAAATAAATGTTATTAGAGTGAATTTTATTTTAAATTTCTATTTCTATATTGGAATTTAACTGAGTTGACTTAGGTTTTATAGTTTAATGAATTCGTTCACAGGTATTTATTAAGGTTGTTAAACTCGCGAGTTTAAAACAACTCGTAATAGGTATGTAAACTCGAATCATGAGCTCGAATGGTAAAGTTGTGAGAATTTACTTCTATTAATAAATAAATATTAAAAATATGTAATTAAATAGTTTAAATATAAAAATGACAAAAATTTAGTTAACAAATATTTTAAACCCAAATAATTAAAACTAAACCCGTCAACATTCATAGTTTATCATACTCATTGTAGATATTTTTATGAAATTCATATACGAAGTCACTATACATTATCAAATAATAAAATAATTATAAATTTAATAAAAATTATAATTCAGAACACTGATTTGGATTTTCAATATTTTAAAGATATTTTCAGTTAAATAATTTAACTGTCTTTTACGCATGCTTTGATATAAATATTTCAATTTTTTATATTAATATTTTATGTAATTTTAACAAAAATGATTTTATCGTTGTATATTATAATTTTATGGGTTGGGAATATTATTTCATAAATTTTTCTTTAAATATTCAAGTATTTTTTACGACATACTGAAGGGCATAGGAGAAAACTTTAAAATTGTTAGAGAGAGGATAATTGAGTCATTAGTTAAGTGAGATAGGCCTGTAAATAGAGTCTTAGTGCATGGATTAAGGGTGTGAGATAATGTAGTCTTCATTATAGAAGGGGGAGATTAACTTGGGTCTCCCACCTCAAGAATCCTCATAGGTTATGGGGTTTGTTCATCACCCTTGTGTAAGGGATGATTAGTGTTAACCCAAGTGGGTTACAGTGATTGTATGAGCATATGCTCTATCATGAATAATACATTTGATTTCCATATTTCTTCTTCTTATTTCTCTCAAATCTCCAAAGTTAACATGGTATCCAGAGCAGGTCATCTTTTGGGGAAAAAAAAAATTACAAAAGCCCAAGAAAGTGATTCTTGTTTTGCCACCGCTCCTAGTCCAGCTGTTCTAACGGCCCAATGGATTCAACATTTTCAACGATGCGTTTTGAGGATTGCTTGAGGAAACCCTAGCTTTCTTGTTTCGCCGTGGTCGCAGCTTCATTTCAAGACGGTCCCTGTCACCTTGTTGTTTCCTATTGCCACCGTCAGAGTCTGCGGAAGAGTATAGGATTTGTCAATGTGAAGGCTTGATTCAACGTCGCTATCCATTGCATGGCATGTCTGAGTCACCCTGCGTATTCGTTGCCGTCCAACATTTTTCTAGCAGTGCTCTTTGCGACCTTGCAAGTTCGGGTTTTGAATTCCAGCTTCAACTCAGAGTCATGGTCGAGAGTCGTCGGATGTCTGACGGCAATAATGTTGACACGCCATTAAAGACAAGTTTGTCACCCGCCATCAAGATTTGTCTTGAAGACCAAAGCCGTCAAGCTGCCCACGTTCATGGTTCTATCTCTATTATTATTGGACTTATTTCTCCAGAATCTCCACCTACTTCTCTTTCTTGGGGGCCTTGGAGGAAGCTATGTGCCCTCTGAGGTAATCTTGGTCTTTTTCCTCCGTCGTTCTAGCGGGTTATTTTGTGTGGAGGACCGTGCATTGGTCATCGATGCCAGACACTCACATTGCTTCCAATGAATCTTCTGTTAAAGACAAATCTCCCTCGAAGAATGATTTCACTTTGAAAGAGGCAATCCAAAACAGATTCTGGGTATTCGTCGCCATGGCCAGTGGGAGGCATCTCTGAGAAATCTTAGGGGCTGTCAATGAAGACGATGGGGTGTGAGAGTTCATTCGTGACACCCAAATGGGTCTTCTCTTTACTCTGTCGCTTGGAGAAATCAATCACAACCGAATCATCATGCCTTTAGCATTCAATTTCCTCAAGAACAAATGCTTTCTTGTTTATTCACTCATGATGGTTGGAGGCTGGTCGCAAGGGACTCCCATCAATATGTATTATTACAACCTTTAGTTTGCATAAATGGGAGTGACAAGAAAACTAGTTTGACAGAAGACAAGTGCATGGCTGATTGCGATTCAAAAGAAAAGAACTGATGAGTATTGTGGAGAGACAAAAATATGAATTATTGTCAAGATTTCAACTTTTATCTTGTAGTGGCTTTGCTTTCTGTATTGCTGCTTGATAAAAGCTTTATATTGGTTGGGTATCCTTTTACTTGTTGAAATCGTGTATTCACAAAGCTACAAAACATGTTTGGATTGGTGCATCCGTTTGGGCATGGGACGATGGACTTCGGCAAGAGTTCAATGACTTTGGCAGCATGAGCACAATGGACGAAGCATTGGTTTTATGATTGAGCCTCCTTATTTCTTTGTAGACGTTTGTTGCTTGACTGGTGATTATTTGTTTTTGAAATTTTGATCTGAAAGGAGCATGAGTCAATGCACAGGGGGCACATCAACAAGTGAGTGACTGACTGTACCTGAAAACAATTTCCTCTACCTGCAAATTCAAGCACGTCTGAAGAGAATCAACAAATTGGATGTTGGGAAGAGTACTCTGACATCATGTTGTTTTGCTATTGAAATTGCAAGTTCACTTCATGTATAGGTGTGTTAGGAGAGTGTCTCCACACCAAAAGAGGGAGGGTAACATGGTCCTCACCTCAAGTATTACTCTCAAAGTTAGAGGGTTTGTTATCATGTTGTTTAATAAATTGTTGAAAGGTTTAATTCTCTTCACCTCCTTGGTTTGTGTTTGTCAAGTTGATCACTTCAGTTAATTAAGAGGTGCTCAACTTGAGGGGGCATGTTAGAGAGAGGATAATTGAGTCATTAGTTAAGTGAGATAGGCCTATAAATAGGGTCTTAGTGCATGGATTAAGAGTGTGAGATAATGTAGTCTTCATTATAGAAGGGGGAGGTTAACTTGGGTTTCCCACCTCAAGAATCCTCATAGGTTATGGGGTTTGTTCATCACCCTTGTGTAAGGGATGATTAGTGTTAACCCAAGTGGGTTACAGTGATTGTATGAGCATATGCTCTATCATGAATAATACATTTGATTTCCATATTTCTTCTTCTTATTTCTCTCAAATCTCCAAAGTTAACAAAATTTGATTGCTTTCAGTGAGTTTTGTTGTTAGTTTCAAACTCGCATATAAATCACCAAGTTAATACGATTTCGCCGAGTTTAAACGAGTAACAAGCCATTATTTATAGGTTTTCAATAAATGCGATTTTTAATGCGTGTTATTTCTTGAACTGAAAACGTGAAATCGACGGCTATTTATAAATCAGTCAATGCACATTATAATCATATCAGATAACAAGTTTTTACGTCATGGTGAGATTTAAAAAAAAAAAACAAATAAATAAGTTATATGACTAGAAAATTTAAAATATGTTTTTACGTCACAAAAACTTTTATGAGTGTTTCACCAGTATTTACCCTAAATGGTTTTTAAACATCTATATCGAGAAGGGATATTTTGGTCCAAAACATGTGGCCTTAACAAAAAATCAATGACTGGGTGGATGAAATGAATTCTTAAGAGTGAAAAAGATGTTCATGTTACATGATTACTCATGTTGATTTCAAACAAGATTTATATATATTTTAAAAATAAGGAGATTTTTATCACTGGTAAATAGAGAAATGTCAATATATTTTCCTCTATTTTTTTTATTTATAAGCGTGAATAACAATAAAATAAACACTTAAATAACGATATATGCCAGCATAAACTATAATTTGTTTCGTAAAGTTGAAAACAAACTTGTTTCATTACTTAAATTAACTGTGCATCAAAAACTTATAAACCATAATTCATTTCATTTCAGAATTTCTTGTCAACGCACGTATTA